CCACTCTTGAGCACATTAGAGATCAGAGGCCCAACATGGTCGCTACAAAACAGCAATTCGAGTTTGTCCTGATGGCGGTGGCGGAAGAGGTGCACGCGATCCTCAAGGCTTTGCCCATACCGTCGAATGAGAAATCCGCCGCGACTACTAGCGCAGCAAGCGGTTCTTCGCCACCCACGAAATCAGAGCAGTGAAGTCAACCCTACGACCTGCGCTGAGATCAACCCTTGAATAGTATGAAAAAGGCTTGACGACTTTTAACTCTGGTCTTTTTAACTCCAGTGGATTCAACTAGGATTCTGCTCTTGTCTTTGACATTCTTTTACAAACTTTACACAATTCGAGAAATTCAATTTTTTTCGAAAATATTTTCTTCAAGATCTCCGATCTTGAAGAATCAAATCTTAACATCGTTGTTGCGATATCTGATAAGGTATATAATTGCGCCAATCGACTATTTTGTATTCTTCAGGGTTTAAAGTCGGGACGCGGACGAGGGTAAGAGATATCTATTCCATTGATTTCAATGTGTGTCACGGGAACGGCAAACACTTTGACTAGCTGTTTACTACGATGTACCCTACCGGAGTAAAGAGTGGATCAATCGATTTTTCCGTTGAGATTTTCTACACGCTCGAGTACTTCCCGATTAACACACCTCCGCGTGATTAGTTTTAGAGTGCACCAATCGCCGCGAGCTTCTTCTTTCATATTCCTGAAGTACATAAGCTGTACTTCTCCAAGGCGCGAAAAGGACGATAGTCGGTTTAGAATTCTTAGCGTGAGAAGTAGCGTACCGTTTTGAGTTAACGGAGGGAAAGTAAACGAGAACATACATGTGTCAAGACAGCTTCAAGTATTAATGTAACGTATGATTTTCTCGGTTGATTCTTTTTTCATCGTTGCTCTATCAAGTAGTGCCGTTTTATTACCTCGACTAATCGCGTACGTCGCCCCTTTCTGCTCATTTAGACGCGGCCTATTTCAAGGGTCAAGTACCTGTATAGAGAATCAACAGACAGGTAGATATGGTTGTTACTGGAGGCATATATAATACATCAACGACTGAGATATACAACTGCTGCACTGTGCGATCGATCGATGATACGACGGAACATATTTTATATTAGTAGTGTCTATTTAAGCACCGCATTTGACGTTAAACGCGGTCATCCGAGTTCAGAGCTTTATTTGCTTGATACGAGGAGGATATCGTTTCAGTATTAATCGCGGACTAACGCTCGAACTGGCTGCGTTTAGCGTTAAATATGCGACATGAGAGCGGGCCGGAATTTTTATTGTCTATCATATTGTCTACAACGCGTGTTCCATATTGCCTCTCATAGACAAAGAGAATCTATGGAATATCTATGGAATATCTAACAAATTGTCTCTATCGAACGTTTTATCGCATTTGAGTATTTTATTAAAAATGCATATATATTATTGGCTCAGCCTTAGTTATTTAGTTTTATTAACGTTATGAGACAAAACAATAAGTTGAAAGAAAGGCTAAGAGCTAAAGGCGCGGTTATTTGCAGAGCTTAAGTTATAATTATTCATTACATTCTTGTTTCGTTAAATAAATATAATTTAAATTGTGCATAGATAACTAAATTTTTCGTTTTTAATAATCTTTCATTTAATTTATCGATTAAAAAAACTCATTTTGTTAGTACTATTTGCAAAGGTTTTGCTTGTGCAAACTTGTGTGTACATACGTGTACATACACAAATTGAATTACATTGACTCCTATGTGCTCTTCGATTAATATGCTTTATAATAGCTTTAAAGGAATGAACAAAACAAAACTTCCGCTCTCGAACACGGTGAAAATAATAATCAATATAAACCAATCAGCTAAGTCAATTGCATAATACCAAAATACGTATGCATCGAGGTGTGAACATAAATTTATTTTAGTGAAACTGTTTAAAGCAAACTATTTCTCGTTACTGTCTTTAAAAAGATCTATATATTTCTTTAATCATCTATATATTTGTTATATTATCAATATTTTATATATCATATATTTATTTCACATGATTATTTATTTATAGGTAAAATATTTGCTAAAAAAATATCGAGTATAAGTTTTTATTGCAATGTAGAATTTTACGAGGGATGTATTTATATATATATGTAAAGTACGCATGAAGATGCAGATGATCGATCGGACAGCCAAACTATTATATCACTGATAAAAAGTACGTGTACTTGTGCTACGAAATGATCTGGTCGATCATTGAGCAACGTTTTGTTTCCCACAATTGTTCTACGAGAATCGTGATTTGATGTCCTAAAGTATCGTATGTGTGCGATTGTTTCGCTGAAAAAAAATTATATTGCTTGATGAACAATGTTAAATGGTGCAAATTATATACGTAAATATACACGCTGTCACCCAGGCGTGTTGTGTCAGGGTTTATTCATTACTGTACAGCGATTAAACTCGCATTATTGTGGAACTTTTACGATCTGACTGTATTACTTTCTGCAAATGTATTTCACACATATCTGTAACGTTTTTTTTTTTTATTTTTATTTTTTGCTGAGAAATATGCTTGAAAAAAATGAGAGAAAATGAGAGGAACAATATTTTAATATATTTTTTGACGGCGTTGAAATTGATACCGAATAAAATCGGTAATTAAATGGATTAAAGTTTCGCGAGCCTATAAATGCGTAATAACGCGATGCGAATATGATTTTCGTGGGAATTCTGAACGGTAGGAACACTGATGTACCTTGAAACTGTGTCAAACTTCGCTTGTTCACCGCAACTAAGTTTGATTAGCCTTCTTTAGCACCGACTCACAAGAACAGATTCTATATTTTTATGTAAAGGGATGAGTCTATATATAAATATATATATAAAAAAAATATATATATATATATATATATAAAAAGGAAATGATAGTTATATATAAATCTATATACTATGTTATCCAAAATATAATACTATATACATGTTGTAAAATAATAAATCGATCTATGTTCAAGCCATGAAAGCACTTACACTTTCTCCCGGTCATATTTAACGCTTGTATTATATTTTGAATACAGACATTTTATGTTTAATGTTTAGTTTTATCAAACTTTATTACAAAATATAAATTCTATGGAACAATTAAAAATTATATGTACCAACAACATATTTACAATATTATGTTCCCATTTACATTGTAACTGATGTTTCAATTTTGATTTTGCCGATAAGTGGATGATAATGTCTCAGGAAATTCTGGATCCCAAAAACCTTTACAAAAGTTTCATGTTTTATCATATATATGTACTATGTATAATATATAAAATATATAGAAATATACAAAATATACCTTCTGGTGTATTTGGTCTGTCGTATCTGTGTCGATGACGCGAGCATTGATTTTTCCGTTTTTGTAATTCTTCTTCCGACAATGACAAATTCTGATAATACTAAAAATCAAACAAGATTAGAAATTAATTCTTTTTGTTTTTCGTAAAAAAATGTGCTTTATGCAATTATATATTATTTGTTAATTACTTGTTTGCATTCCCAGCAATCCCAGCCACTTAGTTTTGCTCTGTCAGCTTTGCATCGCATGTTAAGTTGCTCTGGGATATCTTTTTTCCTTCTCTTTCTGCAAATAATTTTTCATATATTAGATGTGTAAACAAAATTACATTAACTTATATTAAAAAAATATTTACATGTCTTTGTTCAGTAATATTTTCGTCACAGGTGGTTTATTCTCTGTATCGTGCAAATTGATGTCATCCCTGTTATTTGTGTTTGCAGCTTGCTCCGCAGGTAAATAAAAAGTTTCATCTTCATTTGCAAAATTATTTGTGTTTTGAGTAATATTTTGCGCTTTATTTATTTCTGATTGACTTTCTCTTTCAGTTTTGATAGATTTCACATTTATTAGAACTTGTGATTCACTGTGCACTTTTACTGATGCAAAATCACTTGTATTGACTTTATTTTCTAATATATTAACTGTAGGTTTTATCTTCCTATTCTCCTTATCATCTTTCACTTGTGTAGAAGTATATTTAGGCAAAGCACATGGTGCAAAATCTATGATTATCTCAGGTACAGCACTGGGATTATTTTTCCTTGGAGAACATTTTGTCGCTTGCTTTATAGGAGCTTTCCTCTTTAATTTTAAATGTCTAACTTTAGATGTAACACTTCTTTGTGTAGGACTGATCTCTATCACATCCTCAATAGTTTCGTTGGTGCTTACCACATTATTTTTCGAAGTAAGAATTGCTTTTTCTACAGAAATATTACTTATGGAATCCTTTTCTGTTTTTGGCAATATGCTAGCTGGTTTGTTTGCATATGGCAATGATACCTTCTTTTCGTTGCATCTTGTTGGATTAAACACAAGTCGAGATTGCTTCAGTTTCTTGCCACCTGACAGAATTGTGGTTTCCACATGATGTGATGTGCTAATCTCTAATTTCGGACACTTTGTAGAAGTGGTTTCTTTAGTGCTGTGATGTGGCTTCATGTCGGATGATGAATTGTTATGTACTGACGCTGCTGCTTTAAATGATCGGAGATTGAGTTTTCTTGCAGAAGTGCCGCCAGTCTTTTGATATGTTCTAGAGAATACTGGACTCCTCGGTGGACTAAAATTAGTGGTAATTTTGTGTAGCGATTTGCTTGGACTTGAAAAACTAGTTTCCTCATCAGAATTAAGACTCATATTCCATGTATCTAATTTCGAAAATGGTCTATCAGTTTCTTGTGCAATAGCGTAGTTATTCAACTGTTTTTGCGATGCTAGTTCCTTTTCTTCCTCTCTACAAAGTTTATCAGTCTCGGGTGAAAGATGTCTGGAACGTATGTTTTGTATTACTCTTCACATAATAAATATTGATAAAATTAGATAAATATAAATTATAAATTTCATAAACAAGAAACTTACACGTCACGCTTTTCATATTTTTCTTGTAATTTCACATAATTTTCCCATAAATCTATAAAATAAAAAAACTAATTAGTTACATAAAATATTTAAAACAGATATATAATGTTTATTGGAATATTTGTACTTTGACACACTTTTTAATGTTTAATTCTAATAACTTTTAAGAAGAATTTGTACTAAATTGCAGCTTCAAACGATTGGCTGCAGAAAATATATTTCCACGTTTTATGGTTAGTTTCTCCATTAATTCAAGATGGTTTAAATGTTTTTCAAAATATCCAAAAATTTATAACTAAAAGTTACATATATTACGCGATTAAAAAATACATTTAAATATTGCAAAAATAATATATAATCAATATTTTTTAAATATCTAGTGCTTCTGTATCATTTAATCGAAAGAAAGTATCAGATGAAATTGGAGCAATAGTTATTAACAATATAAGATAATTACTTCGATGAAGGTCGAATGCTTTTTGCAAAACTCCGATGTAGTTTTCCATTGCTTCTCTCGCAGTTTCATTATGTGTAAGACAATCAAATTGCAAAAATACTGCCATTGTTTACGGAGCACGCTTCTTTCTTTTCGGAGTACACAAACGGAGTATCTCGTTTCTTTAATGAATATGTCGATTAAATCTTTCCAAAAATCGCGAATATCTGCACCAAATAAAATAAACGGGATTCTTATTTGTCGTTATTGTTTAATTATATTATTTCTGACGTTTTTTTCATATGCTCCGATATTCATAACACAGTCGATCAGTCATATGGTATTACACCTGTATACATGATGTTGACGTGTGATTTCAGGGCCGTCTATTCCATGGGTCCCAAAAAGCCCACAAATTTTAGAAAAGTAAAGATATACTTAAGAATGAAAATTATATTTAAATGATTATTGGGTCTTGAATAAAAATATTTTCGATATACAACACGTTTTTCCATCGCGCTATAGTACACATAGATAAATACACGGACAGGCATATCTTCATTTAATTAACTTGAGAGAGAATTTTGTTGATATTTTTATTGTATATTCTTAGCATGTAAGTATGTATGTACATTGTACACCGTAAATATGCTTATAATAAATACGCGCTAGTATCTTATATAAAAAATCTTAAGCGATAAGTGGATATTCACATTTTTAGCATTGCCGTTGTCACGCAAATCATCAAATGTTGACCCCCTCGGCGTCGCCTCTTTCTTGAAAATAAAATTCATTCCCTCTCTCTCTTTCTCTCTGAGATTACAATATAACAGAATGCGAACTCTTATAAAGATCCGCATAGAATATCGCGAACAAAAGTCTTTTCTCTTTCACCAAAATTAAAAACAAGCATCAGTGGAAAATCGAGAGCTCCACTTTTAGATTTCTATACTCATGGTAATATATAGATGTAATGTATGTATAGGTATATACAAATGTGTATCACAGATCTTTCGTAATGATGCGGAAAAGAAACGTCAGATTACACCGTTCAGCGACCGATCGAAAGATGACTTTAAAACAATCGTATTCTATCGTTAGCAATCCAATGTGCACTAATAACGACTATAATACTATCGTCATTCGGGGAGAGAAATTATACCCTAATTAAGTATCTGGTTGCGTATTATACAATTATACACTGAACGTGCACTTATACTTAACGGAGTGATGATAGCGAAGACTATAAACAAATCGATAATAAGATTTCTCATTCTTTCCGTCCGTCCGTCCCTTTCTCTCTCTTTCTCTCTTTCTCTCTAGCTATTATAATTTAAAAAATAATTATACATATACATACACATATATATATATATAAAATATATATGTGTATATATATATATATATATACACATATATAAATATAATATAATCCATTCTGATTTTACAACACACATACACAGAACACGATCATGTATTCCGTCGCAACTTTGCACAAATCATTACGAGCTGAATGCGGATTGCTGCGAGGAAGTCGAGGGCAGAAAAAGATTTGGTGGCGCCAAATTTGGCTGCGCGGGTGGTTTGCCCGGCGGCGGCGGTGGTCGGCCGATAGCGGACGCAGGGATAGCGGGATTGTTGTCCGGGAGACCATAGTACGACATGAGAGCTGACAGAGCGCTCCGGACACCAGCGGTGGCTAATTGCGACCAGCGTCCGTGGGAGCTTACAGCGTCGTCGCCGGCGTACACTGCGTGCGCGTCGAAATTACCTGGTCCGTGTGGCGCGCCTGCATCTACGAAGAAAAAAAGGAAAGATAGATCTGTAATGTAAATGCAACAAGAATACAGAGTGTCGCGTCACCAACCTAGAAGAGGTGGATTCAGTATAGGAAAGTGGGGATCCAGTTGTCCTCCTGGTCGGGCATTTGCGGCGAGGCGAAGTTCTGCACGCAGGTCGGCCAATAACTGTGCCACCTTAGGATCGCACTGCAATAATATCGTTATGGATTACCAAGAAAAATCATTTATATATAAAGAAATAATGTAATACAATTTGAAAAATGAGACGACTGTGCTGAAGATCCATGTAAAGCGATTTTGATCGCAAATTATTGTATAATGAAATAGTAATAAAAATTTATCACACAACAAAGAATAAAAGATCTCTTCTCGCACAATCCTCGTATGTGGTACCTCACTCTGGTCGATTCGAAGCGACAGAAGATCGTCCACACGAATCGGCTTTCCCTGATTCAAGGCATTCGTGAGCATCATCAGCCTCCGAGCGAGATTATCCTCGGTAGACATTTCCGGCGGATTGTCTCCCTTCGACTGTGGTTTAGCGACCGGCGAACTGTTAAAATAATACGGCGGCGTAGCTATGTACGGTCCGCTCTGATTAAACAAGTTATCTTCACCGTAATGTGCCTCCCCGCCGAGTCTGCTCGGATGTGAATTATAGCCTGCTTCCATTTTAAGTCGTTTAGAGGACCTGTAACAGAGAGCCACACACAGACCAAATGTAGAGATTCACTAGGTACGATAATAATAGGAGGCAGATATGTATTTTCCCTAGACTTACACAATGAATATAATGATGTCAAAAATGATATTGATTCGTATAATTGATATGAGATTCATTACGATTGAATAACGTAACAATATAATTTAACTTTACATTTTCTGAGAAATTTATATATATATATATATAATCGATTTTATAAAATCTTTATAACTATATTAATCAATTCCATCACTGATTACTACAAAATATCGTTGTGTTATTCTCAACTGATTAGATGATTAATGGAAATATAATGGTCATGCAGTTAGTAAGCCGTACATAAACGTGTCTCAAAACAAGCCAGTTCAATACATGAAAATTACAGATATATATACATGCACATAGCTTATTAATATAATCACAAGATTTTATTTGTTATCATTTATTCAAGCAGCAATAGATCATAGAGTAATGAATAGCAAAATATTTCTTTTTCATCACTATAATTTAATGCACTGTAGGTCTTATATAAAACAATATTATAAAGCGATTTAGTTATTATTCGATTAGTCAAGCTCAAGCGCATGAGTGGTTATATGATTCGTATACTCGGTAGACATGAGTCAAATAATATTGGACACTCTGGGCGTGAACACATATTAAGGCTTGAAACTTTCATTACCTATTATATATTCTTATAAGTGCTACAAAATTTGTCCACCTATTATTCAGCCACAACTATATTACCTCCTGAAACATAATTTCCTCCTATTAGATATCATGCCAATTATCTTGTACTTATAAGCAATTTCTTGCTCCAAACTCTCTTAAATTATATGTTACTTTCTACCTATTCCACATTATAAATTATAACAAATGTCAATGCGTATAACAGTGATTATTACAATAACAATAGATTATTCTCCTTATATCATTACTTTCACATTCTTATATAAATTTTTACCACGTGATTAGAAAATATTCTTTCCTTCTTTTTCTCTCACTCTCTCTTACACACGTACACGCACACACACACACACACACATACACGCTCACTCTTTCTCATAAAATATTTATTATTATATTTTATACATTGCGTAATGAAACAATATTCGCCAACGATATAAATAACAATTTTTATTTGATATATACATTTTCGTATAAAAAATGTGAAGCAATTTTTGAAAATTCATACATTCAAAGAGAAAAAGAAGGGAGTGCGAGAGAAAAAATCTTGTCAATATTGAACATTGTAATTTCAGCTATTTTTTTCTATCATCAACTATTTTACTAAATGTTAACAACAGACTAAACATTAATAGAATAAGAATATATATTTTATAAATGACTGTCATCAGATTCCAAGTTTGTCAGACATTCTTCAAACGAAAATCATATATGTAAAAATGTCATACGTTTCAAAATTATATTTTCCAAATCATTTTATATTATCCTTTACAAATGTATTCACTATATACGTATGTATGTATACCTGTAGATCTACGAGAAATTACACAAAATTAGTCACACATCTTTGTAGATAGTATTGTAGATAGTACATTACAATAAAAAAAAAAAAAGAAAAAGGTTTTTCAAAACTCAGAATATATGATATATTTTTGAAATATGCATTTACATGTGAAGATTGTTTCATTACACTGTGGTCTATTTGGTACATTGAAGGTATCAAATTATATAAGGATCGAAACTTTATTGGCTTTCAATAATTTCTTTTGAATCTCTGACAAATACACATATTCTTTCATCTCTTTTCCTTGAGAAAAGATTTACAATGTATCTAATTAATATTGTCATGTAGATATAACAGAAAACATTATACACTTTGGTACATAAAATGTCACATGATTTTGCTACATCACTATTATCCCTACACGCCCTACATCATTAAGAGAAATAACTTTATAATAATAAAAACAAAGTTAAAAAGGAAAAGAGTTCATTGCTATATATAAAGAAATATATATGAGAATACGCATATATATATTTTTGTTATATAAATTTTGAACAGAATAAACAATCTTCATAATTATCATATGCCATTCTCATATGTATACTATTGTCATTGTACTTTATTTGCGATTAGAAACATGATTCAATATTGTATTTATACATTAGTGAGCTGAGTTCGTATTTATTCGTATCTATTTCTAGAAATAATAAATAGCAAAAATGTATTGAGCTTCTATAAAAAAAAAAAAAAAAGTTCGTAAAAATTAAGTAAAAATATCTGTGGAATAAGTAGAGATAGTAACATATATTTGTGATTATTTTACATATATATGAATCATAGAATGGACGCTGGTAAAATAAGTATTTCCCAAGATAATTGTCGCCTGCTGTTTGTTGGATTAATTCTTTGGAGAGATACCGTTACCTAATTAGAACATAAAAATAAACAGACACTAAAACTAAAAAACTAAACGATAAAAAAAGAATATTTTAATAGCACTAAACATTCATTCACTTAGGCAAATGCCTTTAAACGCACAAGTATATTATAAGATTTGAATATTATTTTACATCACCGTGACATTACATTAGGAAATATCCGAAGACTTCATCATAAGGATGATATCACTTAACGTAACGCACATGCAAAAAAAAGGACAATGTAAATACTAAGGTACACAATAATTTGCCATTTGTATATTGAAACTCATCATAACTATCTATAATACAAATCACTAAATTGTTTTTCTTTTTTAGAAAATGACCAAAGTATAATGTTTCCCTAAATGTGTATGCTTGAATATACCGTGAATTAAATATGAATAAAATATTAACAAAATTAAGGTTACATCCTCCCATAATTTTCTGAAATAAAATGACGACATGCAGCAGAAATTTTATAGTGTAAATAAGAAGAAAGTACAAAGAAATACGCGTTTATGTATCAAAGAGAGAAGTTCAAGACTAAATATCAATAAACATACTTTAATACATAAAATATAATTTTCTATTTTTCTATATAATTTTCTTAATATAATTTAATAAGCATTATTAAAATTATATTTATTTATACTTTAGTCTTGAGTTTTTTCTATTCATTTTCTTTTGCCTTCCTGCTCCTTCCTTCCTACTTTTTCTCTATTTATACTATAGAATTCTATAGAACCTGCTATATGCCATGTCGTAGTTTTTACCGTCTACCTATTGTTATAAATTTAATAGTTTCTTATGAAAAATAACGATGACGTGACTCCGTGTTTATTTACAATAAAATCAATTATAACTTTTTTCATTTCTGGTTGAATGCGTTACGAATATATTTCTGTAGGCAGTAATGCTTCTATAAAGAAATTCAAATCGATATACATATGCGCACAATCTGTACACGAACATTCTCGTTTGCGCGCATGCATATTCATTTGCAATTATAATATTTGTGTATACATATGTGTTCTTAGTACATACATTGACAGATATGTATACAAATCTAAATAGCGTGAATGAATAAAGTAAACATTCGATTTTTACAATTATCTTTAGAAATGATAAACGGAATCACAGCGATCACTAGAAAATAACATTTTTCTTCTACGCCGGTAGATCTTTGTAATAATCAAAAATTCACATATACGATAATATAATTATGATAATTATCTCAATGCAAATATTTCGATTTTATCAATGGGTCAAACAATTAACCCCTTAGCTGTAAATACGTCGAAAACGAGCAGTAAAAGAGAAAGTTTCAAACTATTGATTAATTGCAACTTCCGCTAATAATTTACAACATTCGTCGTTTTTTATATAATATTTATATAATGTACAATAAAACATAACATAGTTATATTCCTATATCTTTGTTGTAATAATTTTGAAAAGGGGAAGAAAAGTTCATACAGCCAAAGGGTTAAGTAATATAACATATTTTGTCGCGACAAAATATTATAGTCAGGACATCTCGTTATGCCCTAAAAGATATATATATGTACGTATATACATATATATACATACACACATATATATTTAAATGTCTCACAGGCAGTCTATACCAAATTAATTAATAATAAACAATCTCTGTAGAGCGAAGTCACGAACAGAGAACGACGTTTCGTGCTTCTATTATCCACTGTTCTGCCTTATTGCCACCGTCGTGTTTGAACGACTGCGAATGAAACTAAAATTAACTCGTTGATTCATATTAGGTTAAAGTGGAAGGAAGATCGACATGCAAAACGAGAATCGAAAAAACACACAGAAATACTACTCGTCGTCGACGTCGCTTCTCGCTTTCCGAGAAGCGCACTTACTTTTTGACAATGCATTTCGGCTAAAAGAAATTAAATGCCAAGCACAACTGCCGTACACAGCCATCTACGTGTGTAAGCAAATTAGTTTCCGATTGGCGCTAGAATAATACATCTCAGCAATTCGTGAATTAAGATCTCTTTCGGGTCTTACTCACCCCCCAACATCCGACAGATCATCCTTGTGAGGACCTCCTTTATTCGGGTACGGAACGAGAGGCATCTTGGTCGCTGCGCTCTCTTGTTGCTCCCGTAACAAGCGCTTTCGCTTTTTACTCCACAGTTCATGACAATCTTGCCAAGTCGGAAGCTGCGGCGCTGGCATTCTAATTTTTATGAATAGCATTTTAACGGAGAAACCTATCTTGATTAGTAATGCCTATCTCGAAACGGAAAGCCGGTCCAAGATGACGCAAGAAAATATATACTTACTGTTCAGGCTGAACATTCTTTAGCCATGCGCTCTTGAGCGCATCCGCTGCCGTTATCCGCTTATCCGGATCTAATTCCAACATTTTATCCAAGAGATCCAAGGCCGGATCTGGCATAAATGAAAAATCCTCCCTCAGACGTCTTCTGTGCATCTTTTTTGGCTTGAGTGTATGCCAGTGCGGCAACTTTATCACAGAAGGCCAAACGGCAGGAGTAGGCGTCCCGCAAACTCTCGAAATCATCTCTAGCTGCATCATATCTACATTGGCCTGGTCGTAAATTGTTAATATTAATAATAAATCAACCCTTTCTTTCTCTAATACAATAAAACATGTCATGTGCTTACAATATTTACCTGGAATAAAGGTTTCTTCGAGAACAGTTCGCCCAAAATACATCCGCAACTCCACACATCAATCGCCGGTCCATAACGCTCTTCTCCCAGCAATAGTTCAGGAGGTCTGTACCACAGAGTGATTACCTTATTGGTGTACGGTCTCTGTCTGTCTTCCGCGTTGTAAAGCCGCGCCAATCCAAAGTCGGCCAGTTTCACTTCGCCCCTGTTAAAATTCAATTATATTCAGCAATTCGAAGAAATAAGTTGTTCCTCAAATCACTGAAAGTAACAATACACACTTGTTGTTCATCAGGATATTGGAGCACTTGATATCCCGATGCAGGAAGTTTTTGCCGTGACAGTAATTTAAGCCGTCCAGCAGCTGCTTCATGATACTAGCGTTATTCATCTCATTGAAATCGACCATACCGGACTCCAGTAGACCCATCAAATCGTGGTCCATGTATTCAAAAACTAAGTAAAACGAGCCTTTATCCTGAAAGACGGAAGATGATTAGACACAATTCGCTAGTTTTATAACAACTGTAAAATAATATTATTTAATTAGGAGCATTAGGAGTCGATAAATATTTATTTGCAATCAGATTAGCGGTAAGTTGATTCCATATTTTCAATATTTCAACTTGCTAAATAATTTACACAATATCTTTTAATAATAAAATATCAGAAAATGTCATCGGATGTCGCTGCAGTCTCTATAAAAATTACCTTCCGGAAGTCCAGTGCGTCTTGTTTGTCGGTGACGATTTCTCTGAGATTAACGATGTTCTTGTGATTAAGTTGCCGTAGAATCTTGATCTCTCTAACCGCTGTGATAGGGAAGCCCTCTTTCTCGTTCTCGAGTCGGACCTTCTTCAAGGCCACTAGCACGCCGGCACGTTTGTCACGTGCTTTGTACACTTGGCCGTAAGTGCCCTCTCCAATCTGCGTGATAAACTCAAACACGTCGACGCATCGCTCGCCCCAGTCCTTGCCGCCGGGAGTGAGACAGTTCCGTGGTCCTCTACGCTTCAGTATCTTCGGCCGCTTTAGCTTGGGCTTCGGCGCCACTCGTTCGATCTTCAAACGCGGCGGCGTTGCGTTCGGATCGTCCTCGCCACTCAAGTCTTCCGATCCAGGTACGACTACAATTAAAAAAAAAATCGATAAGTTAAATTGTCATTAGGCGACAATAATAAATGAACAAAATACAAAGATAAAACTGACCTGGTGGCATCGGCAGATCTTTGATGCCCTTCTTCTGCGGTGGTTTCGTCGTCGACGTCGGCAATTTCAATTGCGCCTTATTCGGAGGACTCGGTGAACGACTCGGTGGGGAGTCTATGCTTTCCAAGTCGTTCTGATTAATGCCAGGTGGCAACGGTAGTCTCTTCAAGCTCTTTGTCGTAAACGTTACAATGGGAGGCTTGGGTGGATCCACCGACTTGAGCGGTACAAGATTGTTAGGTGGGTTAAACTTGGCCATGATCGTGTTGGGTGCCGGAACGGGAATCGGTGGGATTGGTGGCGGTAGGGCCGATATATTGGGCTGAATTGGCGGAATCGGCGGCACTGATATGGGTATAGGTGCCGACACTTGCGGCACTGTCGACGCGGATTCGACGGATTGCGGCAGTGGTGGCAACGGTGGTGGCGGCGGCGGCGGCGGCTGCACACCAGGAGCGGGGCCGGGCGCCGGAAAATTCGGGCTGTGCGACACGCTGTGCGTCGGGTAGCTGTTCGGCATCATCGATGACGAGGGCGAGGTATGTACAACTGCATGAGAAACGAGAGGATTTGCCGCGGTGGACATCGGATTGGGCGGCGGTGCGCCGATCGGTGTGCCGATCGGCGGCAACGGCGGTGTTTTACCTGCCAGCGAGCTGTCGTCGCTCGTTGGTACGGGAATGTCGACGACGTCGATGCTTTTGGCCGACGCGCTCTCGCCGGTCTTGGCGTGCTGCTCCTTGTGATTCACAGATCTGTCCTTATTATCAGTGGAAGCTTTATTCTCGGAGGACATGTTACTGCTGCCGCTGCCACTAGCACTACCACTGCCACTGCCAC